TGGTCAAGTGTGATTGGACACACAAGGAATTTGTCTTTGTTGCATGAGCTCTCATTGTACATAAAGTGACAAGATACATTTGTCAAGAATCATAAGGTACAACACTTAATGATAGTCCCAGAATACAAGTAAGTAATCAGGAAAGAATCAGTATCAATATAAATTGTAAGGATGCAAGCGACCAAGTTACAGTTCTACAGCCATAAGCGGGAGGTGATGGGTGATAGGAAATATGAGAAGACTAATAGTAATAGTAATGCAGCCTTAGTGAATGGCTTGACAGTGGTGAGGAAATTATTTGGTTAGCAGAGTGATGGCGTTTGTGGAAAAATTGTTCTTGTTTCTAGTTGTCTTGGTGTGCAGTGTTCTACAGTGTTATTTTGAAGATAGGAATTGAAACATTTTATGTCCAGGATGCGAGGGATCTGTAAATATTTTCACGGCCCTCTTTTTGACTCTTACAGTGTACAGGTCCTCAATGGAAGGTAGGTTGGCAGTAATTTTTTTTTTCTGCAGTTCTGAATATCTTCTGAAGTGGTATCTGTCTTATTGGGTTGCAGAACCAAACCAGACAGTTATAGAGGTGCAGATGACAGACTCAATAATTCCTCTATAGAACTGTATCAGCAGCTCCTTGGGCAGTTTGAGCTTCCTAAATTAGCGCAGAAAGAACATTCTTTATTGTGCTTTGTTAATTACTTTTTTAATGTTAGGTGTCCATTTTAGGTCTTGAGATGTGGTAGAACCTAGAAATTTGAAGATCTGTACTGTTGATACTATGTTGTCTAGTATTGTAATAGGTGGTAGTATGGTAGGGTTTCTCCTAAAGTCTACCACCATTTCTACGGTTTTGAGTGTGTTCAGTTCTAGATTGTTCCAGTCGCACCATGAGGCTAGTTGGTCAACCTCCCGTCTGTATGCAATTTCATCATTATCTCAAATGAGACCAATCACTGTTGTGTCATTTGCAAACTTCAGTAGTTTAACAGATGTATCATTTGAGATGCAGTCATTGCTATATAGAGAGAAGTGGGGCGAGCACACAGTCCAGGTGGGTGGGCGCTCCTGTGCTAATTGTATGGGGATCTGAGGTGATTTTACCTATCTTCACCTGCTGCTTCCTGTCTGTTAGGAAGCTTGTGATCCATGACTTAAAAGTGTGTTCAGGTATCGCTAGCTGATTTAGTTTAGTTAGAGGAATGTCCCGTATGATGGTATTGAATGCTGAACTAAAGTCTACAAAGAGGACTCTTACGTAGGTCTTTGGAGATTCAAGATTTGTAGGATGTAGTGCAGAGCCATATTAACAGCAGGAGTAACTAATGAATAACAGAATAATAAGAGTTGGGAGGGACCTTTTAAATCATCTAGTCCAGTAACGGTGAACCCTTTTTGGCTCACATGCCATAAGTGAGGGGAGTGTAGGGGGTTGTGCATGTGTGTACCGCACCCATAATACAATGAACAACCCCCCCAGTGTGCATGCGCGCATGACAGGCACTCCCCCCTTTTTTGCATGCTTTATTCACCCTCCCCAGGCTTCAGAGGCTTTATTGGAGCCTGGGCAGGGTGAAAACAGCCTCCCTGCCTCCCCACGAAGCCCTCCAGAGGTTTCAGGGACCTTGAGGAGCTTCCCTGAAGGCTCCAGAGGATTAACTACCCCACGAGCAAATGGTTTGCTCATAGTGTAGTTTTTAGTCCTCCGGAGCCTTCAGAGAAGCCTCCTGAAGGTCCCTGAAGCCTCCGGAGGACTTAAACTGACCATACGAGCAAACCGGAATCACAAATGGCTCCGCGTGCTACCTGTGGCACATGTGCCATAGGTTCACCATCCCGGATCTAGTCCAACCCCTCTACACCATTTAAGATAGATGGCAGCCCAGTCTCTTCTTGAAAGCTTCCAGTGATGAAACACCCACAACTTCTGAAGACAAGCTGTTCCATTGGTTGATTGTTCTATCAGTAAATTTCTCCTTAATTCTAGGTTGAATCTCTCCTTGATCAGTTTCCATCCATTATTCCTTGTCTGGCCTTCGGGTGCTTTGGAAAATAGCTTGACCCCCTCCTCTCTGGGGTAGCCCCTCAAATATTGCAAGACTGCTATCATGTCCCCCCTGCTCCTTGTATTCACTAGACTAGCCATGCTCAGTTTCTGTAACTGTAATGATTTTCCATAACTGTAATGACTTTTCCTTCTAGTTTTCACACTGCCTTTGTTTATGGGAATCTGGCAGGAAAGGTCCCCAATGGTGATCACATGACTGTGGCTATGATGTAATTACGAGTCAGGGACCCAAACACCTGGATCTCTATCACATGACTGTGGGGATACTGCGACATCTGTAAGCAATACAGACTGGTTTTAAGTTCCTCTTGTTCAATACTATTGTAACTGAATGGTTGCTGAATGACAGATTGCAACCAGACTGATTGTTGTTTACTGATTAATGTTAAATTGCAGAGAAAAATTAAACATAATAAGATTGTTATCTGGATCACTTGCTACAGTTGTATTATATAAAGCTATAATTTTAATCTGCACAATGCCATAAATTGATTAGAGATCTCTCAGAAGCAATTAAATAGAGAACTCCATTATGCATATTTAAAGATATGGGGAAAATTTTACTTCAAAGATTTATCCAAAAAAGTCTTTATGGTGAGCAAAGGCACCAAAAAATTGTCCTCAATTCTCCAGATAAACTCATACATGATAATATTCATTCAAATCAGAATGGAAGTGAAGAAGACAAAACAACTTTCATAATATAGCTCTGGGTTAAACGCATTCTAGGAAACACACACCCACAAACTCCCACAAACACCCACAATCACACCCACACCCACAGAATTTAAAGTTATGACCACCCATCTTAAGCCAAACTTAAATAAAACATAAAACCATATGTACAAGTAAAAAACGAGAAAAAAATGGCCCATAGCTACACTTCCATGCAAAAATATTATAGAGCAAAGAAACTAAATTTAGAACAGCCCAGAAATGGACTGGTTTATAAATTTTCACTTTTACCAAGCAAACCAAAGCATAATACAAAAAAGTTTCAAATCTGTTAGAAGCTCATTAACCTCTGCAATGAAGCAATGTCAGCTACATGAATTTTTGAGTATCCTACCTGGAAATGCTAAAGAAGGAATCTGAGAGCTTTTGAATGCAAAACATCTGTTCTTTCACTGAACCATGTCTTCATTCCAAGGTAGAAAAGTAGAAAAGTACAGTGTTTCCCCGAAACTACGATATGTCCTGATAATAAGCCCATGCCATATTTTACCTGTGGGCAAAAATATATGCCCTCCCCCGATAATAAGCCCCCTGGACACCCACCCCCCCAGCCAGGCAGAGCGACACTCACCAACCTAGCGATATCCCGAAGGCGCCAAGATGCAGGAGCCGGGGCAAAGGGGCTCACATTGTTTGCTGCTTACAAGATACCCCTAGGTTGGTGAGTGGCGCTGTGCCCAGTTGGAGTGGGCGCTTGCCAGGAGGCTGCTCTCACGAGCAACTGCCTGACAACCCCCCTTTCCATCCAGGCAGAATGCCACTCACCGACCCAGTAATATCCCTGCCCAGCAGGAAAGGGAGGTTGCGGGAGCGCCTGTTCCTCCCCCAGCTCGTGTGCCTCCAAGCCTCACCATGCCCTAGCCCAGCTCTCCCTGTAGAGCCAGGGTGCCGCCGCTGCGCTGCCACCACCACCCCCATGCTCCAAGCATAACTGGCTTCCAAACTCCGGAGATCTGCTGCCAAGTCTTCTGGCAGCAGCCGCTCTGGGACTATACTCTATGGTTGTGGGCTAGCTGTTGGAAGACTCTGGTGGGACAGCTGCTGCCTGAAGGCCTGCATGGAGAGGAGAAGGAGCAGGACAATAACCAGCAGTCAACTACAGATGAGAAGTCTAAGCTGTCACCACTCTACTGCAGGGCTCTCCATGATGCGAAGACATCAGGAGGAGAAAGATGCTTTGCAAAAGTCTTCACAAGAAATGAGACTTGCCCTTCCAAATGAGCAGCACAAGGGATGGTTCTATCTATATAACCAGGAGCAGAGTGCTCAACACCCACCACTGTCAACAACTGTTTATTTATTCAGATACTTTAAGCCTTGATTTCCAAACTGAAACCTTGTCTCTTTGCTGCTGGACCTAGACTGGCAAATGATCAAATGTGGGATAACAAAATTTCTCTGTAGACTTTTTTTTTTTAATATCTATTGCACAGAGCTAGATTTCAAACTGTTTCACTTCTGTAGTCTTTTCCAAAATAGTAGAATTAGAAAAGAGTTCCAAATTCCAGTATTACCTAAAAAAAACCCTCACTAAAACCCTCTATTTCTGTGGCTCAATGGAAAAAATGTTTTCCATTTTCCACCACAAATTTACCTTGTAAGAGCTGGTGTAGCCATACTGGTCTGTACCCCAATAGCCATGGGAATAGCCCCACAGCGAATCGCTCCAAATTCTTCTGCCATTGCTATAACATAGGAGAAATCCAAATTTAGGCCGCCATATTCTAAAAAAAAAAAAAAAACATTATCATTACAAACTGATTTAAAGTTATGAATTCTAGAAACACATTCAACTTCTCTGCTTAACGTAACAAGTCCATTTTAATGAATTACCATGATGAATTACTGCTATCACCTATGGAATTAAAATGGTAGCACAATAGGTCTTTCAGAGAAAGATCAAGGCATGCTGAAGACATTTTGCCAACTAAGGACACCACTTGAAGTCAATCATGTTTCTTAATC